TCATTTCCAACAAATGACCTGATTCTCAGACACCGTGGTCCCACTACTCAGTTCCATTCTAAAGCTAACGCCCTGGAGTTAGCTTCCAGCCTCCTGGTCTTAAAGGGCTGTGCCACCAGACCACCTGTTTCAAAGGCCAGTCACAGTCACAAGTACCAGCTCCTGCATTTCTGCCTGGCCAAACCCCGTCATGCTGCTCCGACATGGCGGCCGGCTAGAACCATTCATGGAAAGCAAAACCTGTTCTTTACCATTCCCCACTTTGTGTAACGGATATGACTTAGGACACCCAAACGGGGGACACGAGCAGGGAAGGCTTCCTTGCCTGTTGTCTCAGTTGTCACCTGAGGGGTTCTCTTGCTGTGATAGACACTGTGACCCAAAGCACTGGGGAGGAAAGGGGCTTGTTTCACTTCCACTTCCACACCACTGCCATCAAGGAAGTCATGGCAGGAGCTCCAACAGGGTGGGGACCTGGAGGCAGGAGCTGATGCAGAGGCCATGGAGGGGTGCTGCTTACTGACTTGCTCCTCCTGGCTTGCTCAGTCCATTTTCTCATCACATCTGTACCTCATTTGTTATTGGATTATTTTTTTTTATGTCAAGTTTCTTGAGTTCTTTGTATATTTTGGAGATCAGCCCTCTGTCTGATGTGAGGTTGGTGAAGATCTTTTCCCATTCTGTAGGCTGTCATTTTGTCTTGCTGACCGTGTCCTTTGCTTTACAGAAGCTCTTCAGTCTCCGGAGGTTTCATTTATTAATTGTTGCTCTCAGTGTCTGTGCTACTGGGGTTATATTTAGGAAGTGGTTTCTTGTGACAATGCTTTCAAGTAAACTTCCTTCTTCCTCTTCTCTGAGGTTCATTGTGGTTAGTTTTATGTTAAGGTCTTTGATCCATTTGGACTTGAGTTTTGTGCATGACGATAGATACGGGTCTGTTTGCATTCTTCTACATGTTGATATCCAGTTATGCCAGCACCACTTGTTGAATATGCTTTCTTTTCTCCGTTTTATATTTTTAGCTTCTTTGCATGACCGGGTGTTGACAGGCCCAATTTTGCCCAGGTTTTGTGCAGGTGTTGTGTGTTCAAGCATGCAAGAAGCCACGCCATACCTAGAAATGATCATTTCACACCTCCCTTTACCCTTCCTCTAGCACTTACATTATTCCCACCCCTTCTTCCACGACGGTCCCTGAGTTTTGAGGGGGTGATACTAATGTTCCGTGACCAGTCATGAGTCCCTGCAGTCCTTCCTGACCACTACAGCAAGCATGCTTTCTGACCAAGTCGACAGCAACACAAGTCTGTGGGCATAAGCAGTTACTTAGAGGGCACTGGACAGGCTAACAGGCACATGTCCTATTAGCAAAACAGCTTCCCCAGACACTGACATTTCTAATGCAGTTTATGAATGAATGAACGTGTGTGCACTGGATATGTTTAAGAACATCAACTGCTTTTTATGGGGTGCTTAAGAGTGTGCCAGGCCCCAGGCTGTCTTTCATCTGTGATGCAGTCTTCTTCTTTTTTATTGTTACCTTTTATAGATTTATTTTCATTCATGCTTATGTGTGGGAGACTGTGTGAGAATGTGGGCACCAGGTACATGCAGAACCCACAGAGGCCAGAACCCCGGTAATACGAGGCAATTCACAATTGTGGGTACTGGGAACCAAACCCAGATCCTGCCCAAGGGCAGTAAGCACTTTTTAACTTCTGAGTCACTTTCATTCCGGCCTTTTATTTAGAAAGGGTTTCACTATATAACGATGACTGGCCTGGAACTTGCTATGTAGACCAGGGTGGCCTCAAGCTCACAGAGATCGACCTGACTCTGCCTCCCAAGAGTGTTGGAATTAAAGGCGTGTATCACCATAACCTGCCTCGTTTTTATTTCTTATGGCTTTGCATGGGGAGGCACCATCAGGACCACATATTTACCATCAGGTTAAGGAGGTCCCCTCCGTGGGCATGCAAAGAGCCCTTGACGGTCTCAGGGACCCACATAAATGCTTAAAACCTAAGATAAATGCTTGCTTGTAAAGAGGAAAAACTAAGGAATAACACAAATTCATCAATATTTAATCAAATGTTTATAAGATGTCTCCATTATTAATGGAGGTCATTAATTTCACGTCAGCTTCTTCCATTATTAAATGTAGCAGTCATGTGAGTTGCATTATATTTGAAAATGATTTGTAGGGTTAGAAGATATTTAACTCTGTGAACACATCAGGAATGAAAGCAGTATTTGAGGAGGCTGAGACCTGCTCTTAGCTGGATCATTCCCAAGGAAAAAACATACAAAACTCACGCTGCATTATCTCAAAATGTGTTACACTTGATGTAGAAATCCTCATTTTTAATGTTCATAAAACATGGGGAAATGGTCTTTGATATAATTAGCCCACCTCACAGATTTAATCCAAAAACCTGACTAACTAAAGTCAGTTTCTCCTGACTAACTCCTCGCTTCTCCTTCTGCCCTCAGCCCCAGCAAACCCACCCAGGTCCAGGTATAGCAGGGATGTTTGTTCGTTATGAAGATGGGGAGTGGCCAGGCCAGGTGAACTCTCCTGGGTACTCACATTTTCCCTCACTATCCTCAGAACCTTCCCACCCTGCAAGCCTTGTCTGGAAGAAAATCCTTTTGTTCTCCAAGCACCACCAGATGGCGCCACACACTGCAGACTGCTTACTTCACGGTTCCTCTGTCATCAGATCAGGAGGCAGAAGGCAGGGAGACCTCTAGGAGTCCCTCCCTAGCTTTTCCTCTTCTAGGTGACTCTGGCCCCTCTAGGGTGACTAGCAGGCTTTGTTTGCATCTTGGTGGCAAGCCTCGTGGTTTGGATACTACAGGGTCTAAAGTCAGCTTAGATGCTGCAAGGCCAGTTTTCTTATTCTCAGCACCAAGGTCAAAGTTAGGATCCAGTCTAGGTGCTGACAGAGACCTGTGACCCTGGAGGAGTGGTTCTCAACCTGTGGATCACATACCCTTTGGGGGGCTAACGACCCTTTCAGAGGATCACATAACAGATATCCTGTTTATCAGATATTTACACCATGATTATTAATAGGAGCAAAATTACAGTTATGGAGAAAAGAATGTTATGGTTGGGGTGGCAACATGAAGAACTCTACTGAGCACCGCAGGACTGGGCACCACCTTCTCTTCACTGTCTGTTCCCGTCATCTTCCTCCTCCATTGTTCTTCTGTGCTACCTCAGTATTTCTGTCTCCCTTGCTTCTTTCCTCAACAAACCAAATCAATCTCTTGCATGTGTGTACACATGGGGGGGGGCACATTTGTGAGGGTGCACGTGCCTGTGAAGTGGCCACCGGCTCTCTTCCTAAATCTGTCTCCACTGTGTTTACTGAGGCAGGTATTTCACTGAGCTGAGTTCGTCAGTCCCGGCTTGTCTAGGGATCCTGTTTCTGGAGTAACAGATCTTCTCCACCCCCACACACCCAGTTTCTTCATGAGCCCTGGAGACTCAAATTCCAGTCCTCGTGATTGTCTGGCAGAAACCATCCACTAGGCCATCTGTCTGGTCACAACACTGCATCTTCTTCAGTCAGCTGACTTTCAAAGCCAGCGGCTGGTATCCATTAAATGACAGGCACGGCCTGTCTGGAATGCAATGAAGAATTAGGAATAAAGGAGGCAGTCAGGTGTGGTGGCATATGCCCATATATCCAGCATTTGAGATGTTGAGACAGAAGATCCATGAGGCCAGCTTGGGCTACATAGGGAGACCCTGTCTCAAACAAAGCTAGGGGGTGATGTGGGATGTTCTTCTGAATATGTGTTGCTTTTATTGGTTGATGAATAAAGGTATTTCGGCCAGTGGCTTAGCAGAGTAAAGCCAGAAGGGAAATCCAAACAGAGATGCAGGGTAAGAGTAGCCAGAGTCAAGGAGATGCCATGTAAGCTGACAAAGGAGACAGATGCCAGAACCTGACCAGTAGGCCACAGCCTCGTGGTGATACACAGATTAATAGAAATGGGTTAAGATGCAAGAGTTACTTAATAAGAAGTGTGAGCTAATAGGCCAAACATTGTTGTAATTAATATGGTTTCTGTGTGATTATTCGGGTCTAGGTGGTTGGGAACGAACTAGCAGCCTCCTACTCCAGGGCGGGGGTAACACTTGGGCATGGTGGGGAACACCTGTAGTACTCTGCAGTAGGAATAAACCTATAAACTTGAGGCAGCTTAGGCTACAGGGCAAGGCCTACAACAATAACAATCACCACCATCATGTAACAACCCTCTGGGAGCATGACAAGGCCGTGTGGAGGAAGATGAGGGAGACACTTCAATGGGGTGGAGTACATTAGAGACAATCTTCACAGCATTTCCCCTCAATCTTTAACAAATTTACTATTATATGACTTTAAGTGTAGAGGCTTTTTGCTTTGCTTGCAAGTGTGTCTGTGCCGTATGCATGCTTGGTGCCTGATGCCATAAGAGAGTGTCAGATCCACAAGCCTGGAGTTAGAGTTGTGAGCGGCCATGTAGGTGCTGAGTACTGGGTCCTCTGGAAGAGTAGCCATGGCTCGTAAGCTCTGGGCCTTCTCTCCAGCCCCCACTTTTTTTTGTTTGTTTTGTTTTGAACCATGTGGATATATCAGCTATCATGATGGTTTGAATGAAAAAACCACCATAGGCTCATATATTTGACTACTTAGCCCCCATTGGGTGGAACTGTTTGGGAAGGGTTAGAAGGTGTGGCCTTGGTGGAGAAGGTGTGCCACTGTGGGCAGGCCATCATGCCTCACGTCTCTCTCTGCCTCCTACTTGCTGATAAGATCCTCAACTGCTGGGAAGCATATTGAGTTATAAGCCAGGTGGGGCTATGAGCCCAGTCTTGTCACAACACACACACACACACACACACACAGAGAGGGGGGGATTTTAAAATGACACCCAAATACCACATTAGGCACACAATAATAGCTACTCTTTCTAGCTCAGCACGGGGATACAGTAGGCACATAATAATAGCTACTCTTTCTAGCTCAGCACGGGGATACAGTAGGCACATAATAGCTACTCTTTCTGGCTCCTCAAAAATCCCTCACAGAGCCCTCATATGTCAGTTCCACCTCCTCAGATTGGAGGTGTCAGCCTGTCTCTTCCTTTTGTGCTCTAACAGGGGTGTCCTCTTGTCCTGTCTCTCCCTCATTTAGTGGTCTACTCAGTGGCAGTCTCAGGGAAGGTTCTGTCAGAACCTTTAGGTGTTTCTGTATCCCCTCCCCTGTGGACTGCCCAGTTTGCCCTGTCTTCTGACCCAGGGGCATTTGAGCCTGTGGGCTACATCTCTGGGGTACCGGCCACACACTCAGGATACACAAAGACAGCCACAGAAATTTCCATTTCCTGGAACAGGAATGTTAATCAGAAGTTCATTTAAAAAAAATCAAAAGGGGTTTCAGTTTCAGTTCTCCTTAAGCCATGATCATCTTTCCTGGAACTGACTGCTCCTTCCTGGGAGGCAGTGCTGGCTGCCAAGGTTCTGTGGATGAGGGAGCATGGAAGGAGGCCTGGGTTCCCATGTGAGCAGCCCTTCAGGGCACTGGCAGGTGAATGCTCACAGGTAGCTAATGGCCCAGTGAGTATAGTGGAATAGAAAAGAAGGATTCCCCGTTCACTGCTGCTCTAGTCATAACAGCCACGAATCGGAAACAACCTAGATGTCCCTCGGCAGAGGAATCGATAAAGAAAGCGTGGTACATTTATACAATGGAGTATTACTCAGTTTTTTTCAAATGACATCAAGATATTTGCAGGCAAACAGATGGAACTAGAAAAAATAAATAATTCTGAGTAAAGTAACCCAAACCCAGAAAGATAAATATGGTATGTACTCACTTATATCTGGACATTAGTTTAAATAAATAATAACCAAGCTACAATCCAGAGAGAAAAGGCATACCGGGACTTGGGGTGGGAATATATGGATCTCCCTGGTGGGGGGAGGGACTGAAGCAGTAGGTGGGGGGAGGAGAAAACAGGAGGACCAGGTGAGAAGGGAGGGGGATGGGGTTGAGAGAGGGAAGGAGGGAAAAGACAGCTAGAACTGAAGGGCATTTGAGGGGTGGTGTGGAAACTGCGGGGGACTTCCTATAATATATGAAGGAGACCCTAAGGTAGTCCAAATAACGAGGGATATAGAACTCCCATTGGCCATCTTGTGTCACCAAACAAAGCTTGCAGTGCCAGGACTGGGTTTCATCCAACTGAGTTGTTGACAAAGAGGGTCCCATGGAAATCCCCAAGTAATCCAGGCTATTGCCAAGACAATAGGTTGCTCTCCATAAACTGGCAGCAAGGCCCCACAAAGGCAACACAACTCACTGAACAAGGAAGGGTTGAGCTAGTGCCTACAACTCCCTAAGTTCTGAGGTCTATGACCTAGAAAGGTACCAACCCAACTACAAAACCTTGATCTACAAACGTCGCATATGTAGGGCAACGGTGACACAAACTGTGTGGGTCTAACAGCTGATGTCTCATGTGACCTAAGGCCTACTCCATGAGATGGAACACTGCTTGGGTAGCCAGGAACCAGAGTCCAGATAACTTAGAGACCTATGGTAAAACCAAATACTACTGGTCTAAAAAAAAAAAAAGTAACAATAAAATAACTCCTAATGGCACTCTGCTGTACTCACATGTCAGTGTCTTGCTCAGCCATCATCAGAGAGGCTTCCTCCTGCAGCAGATGGGAATACAGAGACCCGCAGCTGGACAGTGTGCAGAGACAGACCTTGGAACACACAGCTCTAAGTGAGATGTCTCCACCAAATCATCCCCCTCAGAGCTAAGGGGACCCTACAGAAAGGGCAGGAGTCGGGGAGACAGAGGACGCCAGGAGAACAAGGCCCTCGAAAACAGCTGAGCAAAGCTCCCAGGCACTCAGGCTGAAGCAGGAGGCACACGGGGCCCCAGTTTATACTACAGCTTTCAGTCTAAGACTTGCACAGGACTCCTGAGTGTGGGAACAAGTGGGTCTCTGATTCTTTTGCCTTCTCTTGGAGTTCTTTTTTTTTTTTTGTTCTGTTGGCTTGCCTTATCCAACTTAGATATGATGATCTTGTTTTACCTTAACATATTTTGTTAAAAGAAAAATTCTAATCGTTTAAAAAACATAAAGTGACATTAGCTACTTTCTTGGGGATAAAAAAAGAAAATGGTTTCTCAATAGCTGAGGGAGCTCGGCAGGAGGGAAGACTCTAAGGGGCACTGGGTAGCTAGCAGGGCCTAGAGAGGGGCTTTGGAACACAGCCTCAGTGAGAAAGCCTCAAGATGGTCCCTACTGTCTGTGGGACCCACACTAGCTCTGAGGGAGTGCCCAGGCCAGGCGGAGAACCTATAGCAACACAAGACAGCATCTGGCACCAGAAAAGACAGAGGGACGCACTGTAGGGCCTGGTACCAGTCCAAGGGCCCAGGAGGAAGGGCTGGCACTGGCAGCAGACAATCTGAGGGCTGTGGGCTTGAGGTGTGATTTGGTTTTCTCTACAGTCCCCTCCAGAAGGTTACATTCGCTTCTTAGTCGTGAGCTGAGGCTCTACCAGTGGAGCAGAAGCCAGGAGAGCCAACAGCCAGGCCACAAGCTGTATCTCCCTCATCAGCCAGGGAAGCAACCCCGTCTGCCCACAGTGGCTCCGGCTCCGTACCTGAACATGTTAAGAGCCCCTCACCTTAACTCCAGTAAGTTAGTTTTGGTACTCATGCCCTACTTCCCTGGTAAATCTGTTCCCTTGCTATAAAAAGAGACAGAGAGCAACCCACAGTCACCTCCTCCTGACGTTCAGGGCTCTTCCCAGAAGGAAGAGCTTCAAATGCTCCGGGAGCCTGTGTCAGTCTCTAGCCTTGGCTCTTGGCGGGGCATAGGGCCTTATAGACCTTACTTGCCCCACCGCGCCCCACAGCCTGCTGCGCTTCTCCAATGCACGCTGTAAATGCCACATTTATTTGTCAGAGGCTCTCAAGCCTCTAGTAAGCACAGAATAGCAGGGCTCTCCCACATGCTGCCCCGAGCCAGCTCCTCAAGCATGCACGATGGAGCTGGTGGACAAGACCAGGTGTCCTCGGGAGCAGGCCCCCTGAAGAAACAACTCTCCTCTGTCCATGCCCTCCCCTCCTAGCCTGTTCTGGCTTGTCAATAGAAAAGAGGGGCAGCCTGGCTCCACTGCAGCAACCCCTTCTTGGGGGGGCTGCCCTCCCCACTTTTCCCTACTCTCTGATCTCCCTGGATGTCAGAGGCATGATCCATGTGCTCTGGTCCTCCCCATGGCTGACATACAGACTGCTCCTGTGCCTCTTGTCTGTCCAGTCAAGTTATCAGCGGGCAGGGCAGGCCGGGCTCTGTCTTCACTCCGTAGCAAGCTCAGGACTAGGCACTTGGCTGGGAATCGAGGGAGCACAGGCCTGTCCAGAGAACCACACAGGTTCAAGTACAGGACAGCTGACTCAGCACTGACCAGCAACAGTTGTCTCCCAGCCTTCTGGGCTCCTGGCTGGGCCGGAAACACCTTCAGGCTTCAGTTTTCTGCAGCCCAGACCAATGCCTCCTATCCCAAGAGGCTTCTCTGGCTTGGCACCAGGTTCACGGTTGGGTCATGGGTGGACAACCAACACTGCTACTTCAAGGCCCTAAGGACAGCCTCCAGCTTCATGACCACAGCTAGGTCACCCTTCACCTTCAGCCGCCCACTCATGTAGGCCCCCAGGGGCCGCAGTTCCCTGCAGAGCAAGGCCTGCAGGTCCGCCTCAGCCATCTCCACCACCACATCAGGGATGCCATCAGGTGCTCCATGTCCCACTCTGCCTTGTCCTGTGGGGAGGTAGCATTGGCATCAGTAAGAGGATACTGTGTGGGGAGGAGAGGTAGCACATCCCACCGGGAACAGCAAGGGCTGGTTAGCTCAAGTTCTAGAGCTGGGGGTGTGGCCTAGACTCAGCCTTACCCTCCAGACATACAGTGGGAGTAGGCCAGGCTCTAATACAGTGGCTTCAGACTTTACTGACTGTAACTGCTTGTTGCTTCTGTTTGGAAATATATGAAGAGAATGATAATCTTGACAAGTAGGGCACTCAGTGTAGAGCCTGGGATGCAGCAGGCCTGCTGTGTGTGAGGCTCCTGGCTACCCGACTGAACTGTTCTGCCAACCACAGGGAAACCAAAGCCCTAGCTGTCTTTATGGGTTCATTCCAATCAGGTGGGAGGAGCGGCGGATGGTCTTTAAAGGACCAAGGGAGAGGGCACAAGCATCTGAGTGGGAAGGGAAGGATGGAGGGGACGGCCACACCTGCAGTGAGGTCCAAGAAGTAGATACTCTGAGTGCCGCTAGGCAAGATGACGTTGAACTGATAGCAGGCCCCAACCTGGCTAACCAGTGCCTCTGACAGGAAGGGCTGCAGGGCAGTGAGAAGCCCCTCAGCCACGGGCTGCTTTGAGCTGGGCTCATCCCCAGCCCCGGCATGAGAGGCAGGCGGCTCCACTTCACTTATCATTTCCAAGGTGTCTCCTGGGTCGGGAGGGAGACAGAACAGGTCAGTGTACTGCGAAGGTCGGCATCACCCTACCCCTTTGTGAAGCTGCTTCTTCCGGCCCCTCATGCTCTGTACAGTTGTATCCTCTCCTAAGCTGCTTCCAGGTTCCCAGCCAACATCCCCAGCCACGTCAAAGCGACTCTGGCCTGCAGCACCGCCTCCTTCCAGCTCCATGCAGGACTACTTCCCAGAGGTACTAGGGCCTCTACACACTCGCACACTTGGGCTCTACACACTCGCACACTTGGGCTCTACACACTCGCACACTTGGGCTCTACACACTCGCACACTTGGGCTCTACACACTCGCACACTTGGGCTCTACACACTCGCACACTTGGGCTCTACACACTCGCACACTTGGGCTCTACACACTCGCACACTTGGGCTCTACACACTCGCACACTTGGGCTCTTCTCCAGGTCCCCACTTCATCACTAAGCAAAAGGGACTAGAAGAGAAACTACTGTTAAGATAGCGGGTGAGCACTCGACTCCTTACCTGGTCCTGGGGGTGGAGCACCTCCTACCACTGAGCTCATGCTTCCCCCCAGCAAGTGGAAGGCCAGCTGCTGGAGGGTGCTGTCCAGGTTGGGCACAGCTGGGCTGTCTTGGGGTGGCTGCAGCACAGCCTCCACTGCCAGCTCTACACGGTCTACCTCCAGGCCCCAAGCTCTGGTCACATCATTGATCTCCAGCTGAGGGCAGTGAGGGAAGAGATGGGAGTCATTTGATAAGGCTTCCCTGAACATCTCTGGACAACTCACTATAGCCACATATGGACATGGATGGAGGTCCCATATCCATACTGGAGAAGCTCCCAGATGGGAATCCAGCAAGAAAAGCCAGCTGCATGGTTAGACAAGAGCTGAGTTGGGGAGGGAGGTGTGAACTCTAAGTAGAAGCAGAGGAGACCTTCTCAGCAAACCCCAAATGGAAGAGTCTAGAAAGTTCCACTTAGATTCTCAAGTATGGAGTGGGCACTGATAAGAACTCAGGGTTCCAGGCAGCCTCTTCCTGCTCTGCTGGATTTGCTCACAGGTAACAAGGAATCCCAGAGAGGAGTTTATAGACAGGAGGAGGCCAACCAAACAGACTCCCTTTTGGAAAAGATACTCTTGGTGCTGTGTAGGCACTGCGCTGAGGGTTGGGAGTGGAGGAGTGGTTTCATACTGCAGGTGAGAGATGAGGGGGGCTTGGCAGGGGTGTGGTGAGGTGAGGGGTTGGGGCAGGGGGTATGGTGAAGGGGGTTAGGAGGGCTGGACAGGGGTGTGGTGAAGAGATTAGGAGGGCTTGGCAGGGGTGTGGTGAGGGGATTAGGAGGGCTGGGCATGGGTGTGGTTAGGGGATTAGGAGGGCTGGGCAGGGGTGTGGTTAGTGGATTAGGGGTCTGGGCAGGGTGTGGTGAGGTGATTAGGGGTCTGGGCAGGGTGTGGTGAGAGAATTAGAGGTCTGGGCAGGGTGCGGTAAGGGGATTAGGGGTCTGGGCAGGGTGTGGTGAGGGGATTAGGGGTCTGGGCAGGGGTGTGGTGAGGGGACGAGAAGGGCTGGGGGGCAGTAGTAAGAGAAACAGAGGGAGACCTGCCTTGCAAACCCTGCCAGGTCCCAGCAGGCCCAGGAGAGGGAAACAGGCTGTGCAATGGATATGGATGGCACCGGGGTGGGGAAGGCAGGCTCCTGGGGTCATGATGGCATTCACGTAGAGAGGACACGTAAGGGACAAAGGGGAGGGATAACAACTATTCTCGTACTGTTAGCTCAAGGTGTCTGTGGATGGTTTTGTAAGTTTCCAAAGGATAAAGGGGAGCAGGGTGCACAAACATAAGACTGGAGCATACTGCTGTGAGCCCTGGAACTCTGCCCGGAGGCTGAAAGAAATGAGAAGGCCCACAAAAGAATCCTGGACTCTGTAGGACAGGAGATCACTCAGGGCTGGGGGCTGTGAGGGGGTCTGGTGGAAAGATCCAAACGAGACTGTAGCTACTAGGTGCAATAGGGGAAGGGCTGAGAAACACCTACTGGTCAGACCAGAGAGAGGTCACTGGTGACAGCCAGAACTATCGCCTAAATTTGAGCAAAGTTCGCACTAAGGATGGAGGGAGAGGAACAGAACCTTCTGGAAGGAAGTGAAGAAGGGATGAGAGCTTGAGGAAGGAACCCCTGGGATCCTTGGGAGAGAGATGGAATCAGGCAGGGCCCAGTATAGGGAAGAGCCTCCAGCAGGGAAGCGGGAAGCACAGTGAAGCAGAGATGCAGAGGGTATGAAGGTTCTGCCTGCAGTCTCTCCTGAGAGTAAAGAGGCAGGGTGGGCAGAGAGCAAGGGGTGGGGGCAGCAGGAGGGTAGTGGAGGGTTAAGAAGCTGTTGGCCAAAATGCAACTGGGGAAGAGGCCAAGAAGTAGCAATTAAGGAAGAGTTGGGAGGGGAGTTCGCAACCCTGCAGAGGGGAAAGGGAAGTGGAAAATGCACACTTGTTTGAACAGGACTGAAGAGACACAAGGCAGCTCCTGAGAGTTCCTTTGAGCTCGACTCTACCAGGAGATGTAGACAGGCTCTGGGCAATGGACCCTAAGAGACTCTCACATCCGACACGAACTTCTTCCAAATTGCCCCTCTCATGTCAAAGCAGTACAACTTTAAGATCAATTTTATCTTCCCAAAGATGAATTATAATAGGATGTGCTTGCATGAAGAAAGTCTGGTAGCAGTGGACTACCTGAGTTATGTAGAATGAACACTGCATTGTGGGTAGGAGCAGATGGTCTAGTTCTGGCCTAGAAGTGCCCTTTACCATGAATGGTTCTCAGAACCAGCTGGAATAATTTCTGGGCCTTAATGCCCCTCCTCTATTAAAACGGCAAATACTGGCCTCTCAGTGAAAACGAGAAGCTGAGATGCTGTTGGGCAGGTACAAGTACTCTGTAAGCCATAAAATGATGTGCCTGGGGCCAGGGCTCGGTGTTAGAATGTTTGTCTAGCATGCCCACAGCCCTGGGTTCCATCCTCAACTGGTATTGCCACAAAACAACCAAACAACCACTGTGCCATGAGGGCCCGCTGTTTGGTAGGAATTTCATTCTGCCCCAGTGGGGGGTCATGGTGATGTTGGGCAAACACTAGGCCACACAGGAGGAGAGGAAGCACAAGTTGGGTATGGAAGGGACAGACCACTGCACATGTAATAGACAGGAAAGAAGTGTACATCATTTTTCATACATGTAGAGTTGGGTTCAGGAGACAAGACTCAGGAGCCCCGAGTCTCTCTTCTGTTCTAAACAAGAGGATAAGCTCTAAATGAAAATGCTTGTGCAGGAGTCCCAAGCACGTGGCTGCACCCAGAGAGCCCTGCTCCCCTCACCCACTAGATCAGAAACTGCAGAGGGCCCAAGGTGCAGGGCTGTGGTCACAGAAGCAGTGGAGGGGAAAGCCTCAGCAGTCAGAGGCAGGGCCAAGGATTTCCACTAGAGCACTTCTTTTCAGGACACGTGTGCTCAAGTGTGTGACCCGGGTCACCTCTGCCCCTCCACGTGGGGCCTCACCCAATTCTTTTCAGGTGGTAATAGTGTTGGGACATATAGTGAGCCAAGACCCAGAGTAACTCTGTCCTTATTCAAAGTGAGCTGGTAGAGAGGGCCAGGCCCCGCTGCCAGACCCAGAGCCGTACCCCGTGAGATGCCACCTACCAGGAGTTGGTCACCGATCTTGAGCCTCTCCATCTGGATCTCCTGCAGCGGCCTCCTGAGTAGGGCCTTGGTCATGGCGTTGTGGGCGGTCATTCGAGTAGCTGTGTTTAGGTCCTTCACAGCCATCACGGAGAGCACTGGGTCCCAGATGCGAAACTGGACATCAGCTCCCACAGATAACACAGCCCCATCCTTAGAGGCCAACTGTTTCAGAAGACCATGATAGAGACAACATTAAAAGGCCCAGGAGCTACTGGGGGGGGGTGTCAAACTCACTGAGACTACCCAGCTTAACCCACTTGCCTGGCATCTAGCTCCTCAAAGACTAAATGGTATCTTCGAGAAAGTGGAGTCAGGTGTGGCTCAAAGCCCAGGTATACCCCAAATTCACCATGCATGACCACATTCACTCTGTGCAGGGCAGCTGAGAAGCCCCTCACCTTGCAAGGAGGAACATTGAATGCTCGGGTCCTCAGATCCACCCTCTGGAAGGAGTCAATGAAGGGCAGGAGAAGAACCATGCCAGGGCCCTGGGGGGTTCGGATCCGGCCCAGTCGAAACACGATCATCCTCTCATAGGTGGGTACGATCTGCTCATGATGACAAAAGAAAGGGTTTGGAAGTGGTTCGCCTAGGCTGGCCAATGTCAATTGCCAGACCCCCCTCTGCCCTCCTCACTTCACCCTGCCAGTCTAATATCCTTGGTGTGTAGGGTATGTGTGAAGGCCAGAAGCAAACCTGGACCACTTCCTATTTTCTTTTTTCTCTGTCATGAGGTGAAGGACTTCCTGTGGTACACGGTAATGCTCTGCTCGAACACACTGGGTCAAGACAGCAAAGGCGGACACTCCCGAAGCTGAGGGCCAAAGTGAGCCCTCCTCTCAACTGTCTCCAATGGCTATGCTATCACAGCGACAAAAAGACCACGACACTTAGCTGTGCTTAGTCGAGAGAGTCGAGGCTCGCAGACATGCTCGGTGATCACACAGTCCCTCGAAGGAAAGGGCCATGGTCTAAACGCTGTTCTCAGTAACGGGCCATGTCTTAATCACCACAAGTACTGACTTGACCCAGAGAAGCTTTACCTCTGTGGCCTGAAGCTAATCATGACTCATTCTGGGAACTGTTTGCTCTTGGAGTCATTGGGGAAAAGACTTGGCTGCTCTAACAAATGCCCCGAGCAAACAGCTTCACCACCTTCAGATCCCTGGAGACCCTCAAGAAATAGTTAAATCTAAATTGAGAACTAAAGGCAAGAGAGCCCTGCATCCATGGTCATAGGGCATTTGTTTCCGCGACACTGTAGAAGTAGGATCTGGGTTCAACTCAGTGCTCCCTTCTAGACCACACAACCTCAGAGGCTTTCTAGAGACATCACTGCCAAGGCCATGCCACGAGAAAGGCCTGCCTGGGCTTCACCAGGAGCTGCCAGGGGTGGAACTTACAGCAGTACCTCCCATCCTTTCCTATAAATACCACCACTTCTGTAAAATGAGGCCTGAGCTCCCGGGGCAAGCTGTGAGCTTTTCTTTCAAATGGACCTGAGCGAAAGGGAGGATGGCTTGGCAAAGTCATGCGTCTAGATTCCAGGCCTCAGAAAACTCATTTTCTCCTCCTTACTGGCTCCCAAGGTGATTCTGGTTAAGTCTGGCCCTCAGTTTATTCATCTGAAGGATGGGAACTGTCCTGGTTTCTCCTGTAGTTGTCATAAACACTATGATCAAAGAAACGTGGGGAGAAGAGTTTATTTGACATACAGGCTACAGACCGTCACTGAGGGAAGCTAAAGCAGGAAACTGGAGGCAGAACTGAAGCTGAGACCTTGGGGAATAACAGAATGACGGTTACTGGCTTTCCCCGCCTCCCCTGCTTGCTCAACTAGCTCAGGCCCAACTATCTAGGGATGGTGTCACATGGGACTGGGCCCTCCTACACTACTCAGCAATCAAAATGCCCCCAAAGACAAGGCCACTGACCCATTTGATGGAGGTAATAATCCCTCCATCGAGGTTTCCTCTTCATAGACATGTCAAGTTGAGAACTTGACATCATCAGCCTTCAGAAATTGAAAAACCCAGCCTTGCTTGTTTCATAGAGGTGTGATAACATTTAGAGGCAAGGGGCCAAATATGGGGAACCCAGTCAACAAAACCCAAAGCTTTCACTGTGTCTCCCAATTCCCCAACAGCATTCAGTCAGCCTTACCTTCAGAGCAAACCAGCCAGAAATGGGGAAGGTGAGTAGCAGCAGCAAGAACCCCAGGAAACTGATGAGGCCATGGCAGAGACAGGAGGGCCAGCTCTCAGGTGCATCTGGGGACAAAAGAGCAGAAGCAACCATAGAGTACCAGCTGGGCCTGACAGGGCCACTTCAAGTACAGTGTCCCCAGAGTCTGGGGTCATGTGTATGTTTTGCCTGCCTTCTGCTTCAGAGGCTTCCCGAAGCTAGTTAGGGACCACACATCATAACTAACTGATCTCAAGTGCAACACCCACATAAGACTTTACTCTCCTAGGTAAGAGCCAGTGAATCTGCAAACACAATCTGTGTGATTTTTGCTGGACAGAGCAGGGATCAGCCACCCCTTGTCTAATGTGTATTGCCCACCCAAACATGGAAGAGAGCACTTATGCTGGTGGAACTAACACTGCGGGTGCTAACGCATGCCTCTTCTACCAGAAGCATGCTTTTGTGAGGTCCTTATGGGGAAAAGACCTCAGCTAAAAAGGATGAAACAGTCATTGTTCATCAACAAGAGTCACAGTGAGAATGAAGTGTCTCACTTCCACTTTAATACCCAGAAAGATTAATGTATATTTCAATTCAAGCTGTTTGGAGGGAAGAGCTGGGCAGATGGGGCTAAGGACAAAGATTCTAACCACTGGAGAACCAAGAACCGAGAATAGGTGGTGAGCAGACAGCCACAGAATCTAGGGCGAGCTTGCTGTCTGCTCTCCTCCCAGCCCTAGACAAGGTGAAAAGAGACTGTTCTATCCTTCAGGAGCCCCTGCCTGCAGCGCTTTCTAAATTCTGAACTCTGGCCTCTTCAGGAATCGACTCTTTGGTCAGCAGCAGTCCTAAGAGCAGGAGGCAGAATACTGGAATTTCATTCATCAATGGCAAATCATTCAATGTGTTATCAATACAGGAGAACCACAGAGGGCCCAAATTCTCAAGGTCAGGCCAAAGAAGCCACAGAAGGCTCTGGAGCAAGAAAGAGGCAACGCTTGCAGGCCTGCCTTTTTGTTCTGTGCATCTTCACCAGTACACAGGAGACATCTGGTCCCTGCGCTGCTACCCTTGGGTGATTCTTTTTCCATTTCTCTGCAGGTGTTTTTAGGCTGCTTGTGGCCTCCTCTGCCTAGAGTTCTGTTTTCTTTCTATGCATGATGGGCTACCCTGAAAATATGAACGTGAAAAGCTGAGATTCGGGAAGATGGGGCTACGCTGGTTCCGAAGCTGCAGCTGGTGGCCCTAGAGGGGACAAAGCAGCAGCATGCCAACGCCTGGTCTGACACCCTCTCCACATCCTATTCCCTTCATGCTCCCTCCTCCTATGGGCAGGGAGGACAGGTCTGGGGGTACCGGCCAGTCCCTCTGCGGTCCGCAGTGCTGCTGGGCAGCCAGCCACTCACCGGCCCCCGGCCCCACGCCTGCCGGCTCTGGGGACAAGCACCCCTTCTGCGAACCCAGAAAGCCGAAACTTGACTGCTGGAAACGATCAAAATCCCCTAAGGGCAGCGCCCGGTAGCCGGACCTGCCGAACATGACTTCTGACCGGGTACACGCCCAGTGCCTCCACCGGGCGCTGGCCCTGCCCAGCCGCGTCAGCCCCGCCCCGCCTCGCCTCGCCTCGCCTCCACCGCTTCCGGCTTCACTTGTGTCGCCAAGGACAGTGGTTGCGCAGCATCAGGAAGCTGACCGGGTCCACACCCGCCGTACCACAGCGCCCCCTGTGCTGGGAGGACTGAACTGCGGTCGCTGTTTGGGGACAAGGCCTTGGTGCTAAACTAGAGCTTCTTGAAGGGTCCCAGCCACCTCTTTTCTGATCTTTTACCTGGCCTTAAGAAAGGAGGAGAGGAAGTTTGGCTTAAAAAAGCTTTACAGGAGCCTTTTCTCCAGAATCAAGGAAATGTCATCTGCCTCACAATCCTCCTTCGAACTCAACACACTGACAAATGTGTTTTTACTCCGATTTGGGCTTTTTCCTGGGCATAATTGGCAAATTGATCTTGTTTTGTTTCCCCACAGCCCAAAAGACAGAGCCTGTCATACTGAGCGCTGTACTTATTTGTTTAGTGATGGCAGATCTGAGTCACTGTGGACAAGGTGAAGCCAGAAGGCCTGAACTTTGGTATGAAATAGAAATTCCACGTTCAGACACCTCAGGAAGCATGGCAGTGTGTGGTGCTAGTGGTGATGGTGGTTCTGCTGTTGCTGCTGCTGGTGGTGGTGGTGGTGCTGGTGGTATGGTGGTGGTAGTGGTGGTGGTGGTGGTGGTAGTGGTGGAGGTGATGGTGGTGGTGTAGCGCTGGTGCTGGTGGTGGAGATGATGGTGGTGAAGAGGATGGTGGTGGAGGATGTGATGTGATGGTGGTGGAGGTGGTGGTGGTGCTGGTGGTGGTGGTTGTGGTGGTGGTGGAGATGATGGTGGTGGTGGTGGAGGTGATGGTGGTGGTGGAGGTGGATGTAGCACAGAGGTAAAGATGGCAGAGTTATCACAGCATCGCATTAGACACCTTGATTCAGGTATTTGAATGAATTTGTCTTTCCATGGCTTTAGAACTCCCAAATGAAGGGAGCAAATGTACTCCAATAGGATATTGGGGAGGCTGTCAGGAAGCCATTTTATAAAACCAGCAAAAATGAAGCTTTCCCAATCTTGCCTCCCGAGATCCCGCCAGAGCCCATTTCTAAGTCCCTCTGCCTACGACTGCTGTGCTGGCTCATTTAATGTCAACTTGACACAGGCTAGAGTCACTTAACAGGAAGGAACTCCATGAGACTGGGCTGTAGGCTGTAGACATTTCCTTAATTAATGATTGATGTAGAAAGCCCCATCCCATTGTAAGTTCTATAAGAAAGTAGGCTGAACAAGCCATGGGGAGCAAGCCAGTAAACAAAACCCCTCCATGGGCTCTGCATCAGGTTCTGCCTCTAGGATCTCGCCCTGTTTGAGTCTCTGTCCTGGCTTCCTTCATTGATGGACTACACTGTGACAATGTAAGCAGATTAAACCCCTTTCCTCTCCAAGTTGCTTTTTGGTTATGCTGTTTCATCACAACAATAAAAAGACAAGTTGGTACCAGGAGTGGGGTTTTAGTTAATTCCAGATGTAGTCAAGTTGATGACCAAGAATAGCCATCACAATTCCACCCCTTGTCAACTTGAGATGCAATCATGTCTCCTTATGAAAACAATAACAAGTCATAATAATACCTAAACATAATAAATCTATCCCATGTACAGTCACAAACACATTATATATTTAACAATGTAATAATTACACCTAACATAACTATTTCTCATACAACTGCAAATGCATTATAAATTTAGGTGACAATGTCCCTGAGGGAATTCTTTTAGTATTTAGAACTTAAATATAATCATTGATATTCTCTTAATTGATGTTAATATAATCACATGATAAAGAAATTGAGGAAAGAAAACACAAATATTTGTATAAAATATTTTTAACAATATATGACAGAAACAACTGTCCATTACACTTGACTGTTCTTGGTTTGGTGGCCTAATTTTAAAGGCCAAGAAGTACAGGTCAGCCTGGAGGTAGAGGCCATTTTCAAGGCTTCTCATAGTTTCTAGGATGTTGTGTCCCTTTAGCCCCTCACTCATCTCAACTCTTAAGTTTACAAAAGCAGGGACCTGTCATCATCCCTTTCGATTTCTTTCATATAGGAACACAACATAGGATGAATATACACAAGGCCAGAAAAATGGGTGGGAATAGATTGAAGTTGGAAGCCAAAGGCACCAGCCAGTGAGGCTACCTACAGGTGTGCCTTTCCCTCGCCCACTGGGTTCTGGACTCCTTTTCCCTCAGAGCTAGCTTTCTGTCTCCTCGCTCTCTCCCCTGCTTCTGGCCAGTCCCGTCCTTCCTCTCCCCCCCCCCCCCCCCCCCCCCCCCCCCCCCCCCCCCCCCCCCCCCCCCCCCCCCCCCCCCCCCCCCCCCCCCCGTCCCCGTCCCCTCTGCTCTCCACCGGTCACCAAACCCGCTGTCTCTCAAGGCTTCATCCTGTTCTGCCTTCTCCAGTGTCCTCCCACCTGACTCAGGTCCTCCTCTGCATCACACAGCCACTACTCATAAGCCTCCTGTCTCAAGGTTACCAGAGAGACACAGCTGACACCATGTCCCAAAACCTTCACCAACACTCAGATCATATATAGAACTGGTCAGTCTTCCGCCTTATGAGTAATCTCCTCCTCTCGGGGATCGCTTCAGGAGTTCCAGCTCAGATCTGAAAATGGTCTTCCTTTCCAGATTCTCTTCTCTCTTAAAAGTGTCTCTGCAACCCTGAATCCCCGTAGTTTCTGCTGCGTGTTCTATTCTCAGCTGAGGGATGCCTTTCCAGGCAGACTCATCCCAATACTGGGTCGAAGTCTCCATTTGGGGTGACTTGGTGGTTCTCTCAAAGAGGGGTTTATTTCTTAATAAAGAAAGAGTCTCTCAAAGAGGGGTTCTTAACTAGGGAGGCACAGAGCTGTGAGGTGAGCTGAATAGCTCACAGACAGATCTGGAACAGGGGAGTGCTTCTATATAGCCAGCCAGGCTCTGCACCTCTCCTAGCGTGCATAACGCGTGTGGCAGGCTCTACCGCCGTTGCCGTTGAGCAGTCAAACTCGCGATCTTTCTGCTACAGAGCCATGCCACCACGCTGGGCTTGTTTGTTTGCGTATTTGGTTAACCTTTCTGGTTCTACCAGAGGCGGCTCCATAGCTCCCTACTTTTTCTCTTCTAACTCCCGAAGGGATTTCAAAAAACCAGTCCCTCCGCCCCTAGACCCGCCCCAGCCTTGTCTCACTTCCTCTCGGGAGGCGGGCCCTCAGCGGGTACCTCCCCGCTGGACAGTTCAGGCTGCTCAGTTTTTTGCCTCAAGTTTGGGACTCCTCTCCCGCCCTCACAAACCCATTCCAGAAATCGAAACTGCACCGGTTTCCATGCAGAAGGCGCCCGCGTCCTCTGGATCTCCCTGCCTCCAACAGGACCCCACCCTGGCCCCCACGCCCACCATGCCTCCTCCGGAGGACCCCTCTGAAGACCATGAACACAACCAAAGCCCGGCGGAGGTACTACTGGGTTAGATGAAGGATTGTTAGGATTTTGTTTGTTTACTTTAATGGTGGAATTGAGAATGAAGGTTTTTATAGAGAAGGTAACTTAGTTCCTAGAGAGACACCAAGATCCTGACCCTCTTGTCCGGGCAGTGGTAGGACGGATAGCATAGACTAAAAAGAGGAACCCGGATGAATTAGGAGAGCCATGGGTATAGCTGGATTGTAATGAGATGGGCCACTCCTACCCCCCAGGAGCCTTGTCTTTTAGCTCCTACCTCAGATGAAAATCGTCCAGGGAGATGGCCAGGGCAGGAGCCTCCTTTGCCATAGCCTGGAGCTAAAGGCATGCCCCAAACATGACAAAATCATTTACACCCCCTCCCCCCAGCTGTGGTAGTATATGCCAGGAGCAACAGTACTTGAGATATAGGTGCTGGAGGGAGGTGATAAGTTGCAGGCCAGCCTGGTCTACAAAGAGAGTTCAAGACTGCTAAGGGCGACACAGCAAGACCCTGTTTCAAAACAATACAACAGAAATAGACAAAACTTGGCCCCGACCAAAGTGCTGTCTTGACTAATACCAAGGCAATTCATTTGGCTTCTCTCTTTTTTGATTTTTATAGGTTTATTTTATTTTATGCATATGAAGTTTAGGGATATTTCGTTTTTCTTTTCCTCAGGCAGGGCCTCACTATATAGTCTTGGCAGGGCTGGAGCTCACCGTGTAAACCAGGCTGGACTCAAACTCAGAGATCACCTGTCTTTACCTTGAGAGTACAGGGAGCAAAGGTGTGTGCAACCATGCCCTGCTCATGTGGCTTCTCCTAAGGAAGCCTAGTTCTTGGTTCTCCCTGAAGTTTTACCTCAACTTATCATACTTATCTCCAAAAGAAAAACCTCTATCTCTTTGTTCTTTTCCCTTTCCCCTTCACAAAAGCTTAAATAAGGCCATATTGCTAGATCGTTTTAATTATTAGCATTCTATAGCTAAGGACTAACGATACTAGTTAACATTTATGGGTATTTCTCATGTGCCAGGCACTGTACTGAGCACTTTGTGCCCTTTAAACAATAGCTATAATTCCTGTTTCTATGAACTTAACTAGTCTAATATTTCATATACATGGAATTGCACGATATTTCTCACCTCATGGCATATTTCACTTACCATAATGTTCATCCATGTTGTTGCATGTAATCAGAATTTCATTCCTTTTAAAGGTTGAATAATATTCCATTATATGTGCAGACACGTTTTGCTCATGAATTCATGTGCTAATCGGCACTTGGGTCGCTGTGACTCTTGTGATAGTGCTGCTGGACACATTAGTATATAAATATCTGCTTGGGATTGTCCCCCAGTTCTTCTGGGTGTATATGAAAGAAGTTCTGATCATATAGTAGTTCTATGTCTAACTATTGGCGACCCCCCCCCCCCCGGCAGTTGTGTGAGGTTGGTACGTTAGTGTATTATCTGATTTCCAAACTTGAGTTCTTTGAATGCAAAAGTGTATCCAGACTTCTCTCTGGGCCTATTAGTGAGGTTGGTGATATGTAGATAGGTGCCCGGTAAATTGTGCAGTGAGAGCTCCAAGGCCTGAGTAAATGAAGAACTGGGGTGCCGATAAGCCAGAGCATGATCCAATGACTCCCTAGGATGGAATGCGAGGTCCTACCAATTCCAGCTTCCAGCTCAAGGGATGGGATGGGCTGGCAGTGGGGGAATTCTGGGCTTTCTGTAGGCCTCATTTCTCTCTTTGGTTCACCAGCAAACCTTGAAGGAGGAATTCCAGTTTCTGCGCTGCCTGGGCTGCCAGGCCCAAGCCAAGTGCCCCAAGCTGCTTCCTTGCCTGCACACGCTGTGCTCCGGCTGCCTGGAGGCGCGGGGTTTTCAGTGCCCTATCTGCCAGGGGCCGGGAGCCGACGCTTCTGTGGAAGCCCTGGATAACACGTTCTTCGAGAGCCTGCAGCGGCGCCTGGCGGTGTTCCGGCAGATCGTGGATGTGCAGGCTACGTGCACCCGCTGCAAAGAGTCGGCTGACTTCTGGTGTTTCGAGTGTGAGCAGCTCATGTGCAACAAGTGCTTCGAGGCGCACCAGTGGTACCTCAAGCACGAGGCCCGGCCCCTGGCCGAGCTCCGCGACAGCTCAGTTCGCGAATTCCTCGATGGTACACGCAAGTCCAACATCTTTTGCTCCAGTACCAAAAAACATCGCCCCACTGAGCAGGCCAAGTGAGTGGAGCATCTTGGAGCCAAGGGTGGGAGTTTCAGGGAGCCTTGTCACTCAAAATGGGGTCCGCTGGCTTGTAGAAATCGCTCCTAATGTCCCCCTGAAATATATAGTGCTGCAGAGTCATCCTTTCGCCCTCACCTAGTATGTTTTTAGGACAAAAGTTTTCAGAGTGCCGTTGCAAGTGAGGTGTAAAAACAGTACGTTTTAGTACATGCCACAGAATTTTAAATGTCTTAAGAGCGGACTCTTCTTTAGGGGTCCCGGAGAATCTCAGTAAGGCTGGATGTTAAGATGAGGGGCAGGTAAATGGTGTCTGGAAAGTTGAGACTGTATCACTGGGGAGCGCTGTCTGAAAATGTCTAAATGGAAAGAACAAAGAAAAAGAGAAATTCACTTACAATTATTTTTCGTTAAACAGCATATTTGAATTTTATGTTTATATAGAGAATATATTTATATGACTCACAAACAAAATGTGTACTAAATAGAAGTGCCATCTCTAGTCCATTCCCATCTGCTTAGTTTTCAACACTTCCCCTCCTCCACTGAGCAGCTGCCATTACTGATTTTGAATGCTTGTAAGTTTCTTTGTGAATGTACATGCAGGTAGGGTAACTTTATAAGGGCTTGTTTCTGCATTTTTAGCCATTAAGTTAGTATATGATAAGTGAACTTTTGATACTCAGAAGTAGATTGCTTGCATACGGTTCTGCCTAATAGGGCTAGTAGTTCTTGGAAAATCAATAGGCAACAGAAAGCATTTCCTCCTTTGGGACACCCCTTAACCTACAGACTAGGTACTGCAGGAGCTCGCTTCCTGCCCAGCCTCAGAGGAGTGCTGCCCCCTGCTGGGTTCCTCAGACTACCCCCGGAACTTAAACTTAATTTGCGTTTCACTGCGAGTGTTAAGATCCAAAGGCTTTTCTGTCTGTCTATTGGCCCTGGTATTTCTTCCTTTGTGAATTGCCAGTCTGGAGTCCTGTTTGCTTTGACATTGAGGAGTTTGTCGCTCTGTAAGAATCTGTTGTGGTATTGTTTTACTTAGTAGGTGGTATTGTATTTAAGAATACCTCTTTAGTTTTAGGCAATCAATCTTCAGTCCCTCTCTTTTGATGGCGTATGGTTTTGATGCCGACCAAGGAAGAGCTCATGCCTATAATCTCTATATGTTCTATAATCTTTCGATATGAGAAATTAAATGAACATCTTTTCTTTTGAGCTGAATCTTGGTTCTTAGGAGGAATAACTCAACTTAGATCTTGACATACTATTAATTTCATTACTAGCTAGGATATATTTTGAATTATTTTAATTAGGCTATTCTCTGTAACTGTAAGTATAATCAGCTTAGTATGACGTGTGTATGGTTTCTGCGTTAGGTTTTTTTGTCTGTTTTATACTAATCTCTTTAATTTGTAATCTTTCATTTCTTTGAGGATGATAATGCAATCCTTCATAATAGAGGGATGATTGATTTCCCCCAGTTCCCCAGAAAAGCGCTCATTTTCCTGCAAACTCTAAGCCACTTCAAGATTACACATAAGCCAGGCTATCTTTAATACCAGCACTAGGGTAGCAGAGGCACGCAGGTCTTGGTGAGTTTGAGGACAGTTTAGTCCACATAGCAAGTTCTAGGTCAGCCAGTGCTACATAGTGAGACCTTGACTCTTAAAAATTTACTTATAGCTGGGCAATGGTGGTGCATACCTTTAACCCCAGCACTCGGGAGGCAGAAGCAGGCAGATCTTTGTGAGTTCAAGGTCAGCCTGGTCTATAAGAGATAGTTCCAGGACAGGCTCCAAAGCTACAAAGAAACCCTGTCTTGAAAAACAAACAAACAAACAAACAAAAAAACAACAAAAATTAATTATAATCCTAAAAATTATAAATGCCATTTGAATAATTTTTATACTTTAATATTTGGGAATAATGATTTTAAAAAGTCTATACAAGTACAATATGAATTGTGAATATATATATGTGTATATGTGGACTCACATACACACACAGGTGCATGTGTGCTCATGTATGTAGAGGCCAGGGGACAATTTTGTTCTTTTTTTTTTTTAACTAGTAGTTATGGAAAAATTTACTTTTTGTTTGTTTGTTTGTTTTGTTTTATGTTTTCACCAACCTCAGTGCTATGAATAACCCACAATTTTCCCTTTGGCCACAAGCCAAAATAAACCACCCTGGCCTTTGTCATTGAGCTGACCTGTAGTTCCTGCTGGGGAGCTTTAAACCAGGGTTAGGGTCTGCCTCAGGCGGTTGGAATGTCTGTGGAGTGGACTGTCTTGTTCTGCCGTCATGCCATGCCAGTACTGCCGTGTTCTCTGTTAAGTGTTGTTGTCTGAGTACAAACAGACCCAGCCCTGCATCCTTGGGCATCTGTGGTGGACAAGCAGAAACAGCAGTGAGCAGCAGAGGCAGGCGAGTGACAAGGTCGGGCTGCCTCTACATACCCTTCACGCTTGTGTTTTCTCAGTGACTCTGATTACACTGTCTCTTCTGTGACGTCCCCTTGACAGTACTACCTGCTCAGGGCGCTGATATCTAGTGTGTGGGCAGAAGTAAGAAGGAAGGAAGGCTTAAAGGTCTAGATGGCAGAAAGCCACCCGCCGGGCCTAGATGGACAGAGAGGCAGCGTCTGAGAGGGCGTCATAAGAGGGTGACTGAGTAGCAGTGCCCCTGCTGGAAGGAAAAGAAAGGCCAGGAGATGCAAGAGAGAGTACTGGAGAATCTGTGAGTCTTAGAAATTGCCCATTACAGGGATAGGGAAGATGAGCTGGCATCAGACACATGGGGCTTGGGAGAAGTTATGATTTTATGAACTTTCCAGAACGTTCAACCTGCTCATCTTGCTCCTTTTTTTTCCATGTGCACCCTCTTGTCATGTCACTGAGTTCCCTGTAGAGTGTTAACGAGACAAAGGAGTATACGGTTGGAAGCTTGCTGCTTGAAGTCATGGCTAGATTCTCTCCCTGCACTCTGGTTGTATCTCAAGTGGCCAACTTTGGCAGCTGTTAGGCCAGTATCCTCTGCTACTGAAAGCCCAGGTTTTGACCCTTTCCCTAATGAAGGATGAATGTAGTCTGTAAGCTACAATAGCTTGTTTAATTTCCTTTAGATCAGTCATATGTATGGGCTCCCATGTATATTCTTTGACAAACTTAGGGTACTTGGGGCCAGATACTTTTTCTGTTGTTATTACTGGAAAGGCAGGCAGAACTCTGGGGGAGCTATCCCAGAGATTTTTTATGCACCGATGAGGTTAAATTTTGCCTTTTGTACCTTTTGTTCCTGATTATCAAATTTGATAATTTCCTCAGTTTTTTCAAATCTGTTTACCACTGCCTTTTGCAATGTCTGGATCTCCTGTGCAGTGTTCTGCTCTAATGCCCTCACTGAGGATTTATTTGATTGCATTCTCATTTCTATTTCACTCCTGTTCATAGGGTTTTTTTTAAAATATTTATTTATTTATTATGTATACAATATTCTGTCTGTGTGTATGTCTGCAGGCCAGAAGAGGGCACCAGACCTCATTACAGATGGTTGTGAGCCACCATGTGGTTGCCGGGAATTAAACTCAGGACCTTTGGAAGAGCAGGCAATGCTCTTAACCACTGAGCTATCTCTCCAGCCCTGTTCATAAGGATTTTGACAGGACTTCTTACCATGTGTTGGGTGTGCTCAGAAATTGAAGTATAGAATCTGGAGGGAAAAAGAAGCTCCTGTAGGAAATTGAGATCTATGAGATGGGGGAGGGAAGGGACAGACTGGATCTCACACTGTCAGAGCCGGGAAGACCTGGAGGCTCACCTGAGAGGTCTTTCACCTATGAGTGATAAGGATCTAGGACTCTCTGTGTCCAGATGTTTGAGTCTAAAGTTTTATGGGTCAGGGTGAGGGAATTCATCCAGGACCATTAAAGTCTGTAGGAAGTTACAATAGTTGTATGGGAAAAAATGGAATACTTAACTAATCAAATCAAAGAAGTGTGATGAGGGCCAGGCAATGGTGGCACATTTCTTTAATCTCAGCACTCAGGAGGCAGAGGCAAGCGGATCTCTGTGAGTTCGAGGTCAGCCTGGTCTATGGAGTAAGTTCTAGGACGGACAGGGCTACACAGAGAAACCCTGTTTTGAATGAATGAATGAATAAATAAATAAATAAATGTGTGATGGTATCAGAAGCCCTGCAGAAAGTCTCCAAGACAAGGAGCTGGAATGGTTGGAAACAGGTGACGGAAGGACAGCTCCGGGCGGGAACTATTGACATCCAGTAGCAGAGCTCTGACCGAGCAGGGAGAGCTGGACGGCTGCTGAGGAGCCAGGCCGATGGTTGCGCTTAGCATTGGGACAGTAGTGAGCAAGCCAGGTGCCTTCTCCTGGCCCTCCTCAACCCTCTGGGAGAAGCTACCTAAGCTTTTAGTGCATTGTGTCTTCTTGGTGCTCATAATGTTACTGAGATTGATGTCTGGTCAGGGAGGAGCACCACTGCATGGGGGAGGAGCACTGCTGCATGGCAGAAGAAAGGCTGCTGCCAGCAGGTGGCCAACATTGCAGAAAGGATAGTAAATGACTCCTTCCCCAGTTTTTAAAATATACTTACCCAGGAAACTTGGCTTCAGACCCAGTAGTAACCATACTGCATTTGGTAGGATGCTATGTGTATAAAAGAGATTCTTCCACACACCTGGCCATTGTGATGTATCAGAGGGGGAAAAAAACCAAAGAATTTAAAATAACTCAAGTCAAGATCAGGGTTAGAGTGTTAGTCCCTGGAAAGGCTGAACCCTCTGCTCCAGCGATGGCATTGGGCTTAGCTGCTCAGAGATGGGGCATGGAGACTCTGGACAGTGTGGAAGGATGAGAGACTTAATGGTGACAGGCTTTTCTCATTGATTCCTAACTCATAAAATGGAGCTAACTGGAACCCATCTGTCTGTCTGTCCCTCCGCCACTGAATAATCATTTAGGGAGGCAGCAGTTTACCT